CATGTATTTGAGATCCGACAGCCATTGTGTTACCACATTTGGGGGAAATTTACATGTATTCAGTCTGTAAAGTCTTCTGAGTTACGTGCACGTGGAGCTAGAATTTCCACAGATAGGAAAACATGCATGAACTTGAGCAGATTCCGATGTTACAGGCTGTTGTTGAGGATTATTGATTTTCCCAGTTTAGAACAACAGGCATTTACCGTATTTTTATGATATCTGCTGAGGACTGTTGCATTGAGGAGGCCATGTTGGATTCTGTTTGATCTGATGGAAAATCCTGAGAACATGTCTGAAACTTGAGGTTGACTTGTGAAACTGAATCTCATTAAATGAAAACAGTTCGGAGGAAATAACCGTTTTGTGTTGATACAAATGTTGATGTCCAAATTTACACATTTTTCCCGGTGAGATACAAGGAAGATGTGTTTGCTGCACTTACTCAAGGTCCAAAGTATATATCCAAAACGTTATAGTTTGATTGATGTACATAGCCTGGCTCGGATGTTGCATGTAAACCAGGCAAATATAGAGTGGTTTACACAGTTTTGGTTTCATTTCATGTTTAGTTAATTCATCATTTATTTGAATGCCTCAATTAAACCCAATTGCTATTTATGTATTAATTTAGTCAGTTTTTGGTCTGACAGGTTGATATCTGAGTAAAGAAAAGGAGATCAAAGTCTAGAGAACCTAAACCATGGTAGGAATTCCGCTTTCGTCAGACATAAATATTTGGTCTGCCCACTTCTGCTTATCATCTGCAAATTGACTTCACGCCCCAAACCAACTCTAGTCCCTCCGAACTGCAAAGTCAGTAAACATTCGCTGTGCATCCCCCTAAATAGTAATGAGAAGAGTAATTACACATATATATAACCCACTACTGTTTAATCTTGCTGAGTATTGTGTGCACGGATAGGTAATAATCAGGCTTTGGTTTAGCTGATGCACATATTGACAATTTGGCACAAGCAAATTCTGCGCTGTTGACTATTTGCGGCGAATTACCGATGTCAACAATTTCGGCACACATTTACTTACATAGTCATGAGACGCTTATTTATACGTGTGTGTATATGCACTTTGGCCAGAACAGTAGCTTTTCCAAATTAGTTCAGCGATTGCAAAACATTTATAAGTGAAGTTGACTTTTCAGTAATAGGGGCGCTAGCTTTATCATAATGTTGTAGCTCCATGGTTGTACTTATATAGCGCAATTGTATCAAATATCTCAAAACCTTTAATAATTAATACCCCTGTTCATCAGGCAGTGTGAGACCAGTTTTTGGAGCAGCTCGAGATCATGGGCACATTTTGGTCTTATACCTTCACAGGTACCCATTTATACTCCTGGGTGGTGAGAGGCAATTGTAGTTAAGCATCTTGCCCAAGAACACAAGCACCATGTGCCCCGTCAGCATTGGAATCAACAGTGCTAGAAAGCAAGCCAGTTGTTACAATTGGCACACATCTCATAAAACTCAGAACAGCATACACGTACATCATTGGCCTGCACACTTCATTTTAAATTTTTGGATTTTCTGTTTCATTTTATGCTGATACTGCTGTACATTACATCAGGAGAAGGAAAGAAAGATTCTGCAAGTTGTGTATTTTAGTGTAGTCGAAATAATGTTCTTAGTTGAATGATGACTTAATTCCTAATGAATAGAAAGGTTCCCCCAAGGTCAGCCCAATTAGCCAAGTATGGCATGGCAAAGTGGTAGATGTTAAACCTGTACGCCTCAATTATTGCCAACAGATAAAAGGGAAAAGAAAATCCTTGGTAAATCTCTGTGAGCTTTTACAACAGCCTTCCTTTTGCGGTTTCAGTCACAGGTGATTTGTTCCATTACCGTGGTTTGTATTGTGAATTACTTCCAAGCGATTACCCAACAAAGTAGATCTTCGCTGGATAATGACGGGGCGGCGTGGTGCCTTGTCATAACAAGGGCTCCACAGACCGTACACCAACCTCCGGCTCTCTCCACCAAGTGTTGCACTTGCCAGAAGCCAGGATGGGTTTCAGGCAGTGCTGCTGCATTTGTCCTCCCTTCACGTTTTTGTGGATGTTCATCCACTCGGAATAAAGCCACTTAACTGGATGTGAGGCAATCCGTAAGTGCACAAGTGGGTGACAAAAATCATCAGGGAAAATTAAAAGAAAAAAAAAAAATCAGCGAACTGAGTCTGAATACCCATGTGGTGTTGTGCTGCGTGCAGTGAATGGCACGGTTGACTGAGGGCCAGATTTTGGCCCCGGAATAAATGGACTGTCGTGTTCGGAGTCTAGCGCGGTGACGTCCACGTCCATTGACGATTCATGGACTGAGAGAGAGACAGAGAAGCTACTGAATTGGTTGACATGCTCACAAAGTCTTGTCCCATAGTGAATGGTAAATCAGATGGAAATGAATTGGATTTAGGATGCGTCTGGTGAAGTGTAAAAGGATTTGGCTTGGGTGGGGTGTGGTCGGTCTTGTTTTCGCCCTTGTCTTTCTTGTATTTTTTTAACAATCTCTTGGTCAGATGGTCAGACAACACTGACTTAAGTGGACTGAGCATTATTCACCGCCCTTTGAAGCGACAATAGCAGGGGGTCCCATTACATGACCATCACAGACTTGCTACGTAATTTAGCTTGGTCTGAATTTCGCTGTGGAGAGCACACTAATTACCTGGTTACTCAGGTGTGTACAAATGGAAGAATGGTTCATTTGTCACAGCGGATTTTACAAACATTTGCGTTGTTTAAATGCTACCATCTGTTGGTTCCTTCTGTTGAAGGATTTCACAGGGACTTAATGTTATTGGGTGGAGGGGTAAATCTGCTGCTCCATACAAAAACCATCTTTACTGTTATAAACATGAACAAATGTGGAGAAACAACAACAAAAATCAATTTTCATAATCATTTCACCTCATATCTAAAGAAGAATTTTACTGCATATGTGAGCATTATTTCCAGACATGTTTGCAGTGCACTTATAACTAGAGTTAAAATTCATAGGGGGTACAAACTTTTTTCAAGGGGGACACCTGAAGGGAAGGCAAGTAACATTATATTCAAGATTTCAGACATGTCTGTTCATTATTTTGAAGGATTTCATAGGGACCCAATTTTATTGAGTGTAGGGGTATATCTTCTGCTCCATCGGGGGAGGGGGGGGGGGGGGTACGTGCCCCCGTAGTTATGCCTACTTGTTTGTTATTACTGTGAACTTTATCATCCAGGTAAAAAGCCTGTTCCATGTTTTTATGACTATACATGTTGTGGTCTTAACTCTAATCTGCCATGAGTTGGGGGCATTTTGTTAGGAATCTTTCTCATTCCACACAAATCCAGCACTGAGATGTGAAGTTGTACCCATATTTGTATACAGTCCTGCATACTGCAAAACCTGGTTGCAGTGCATCGCGTTTTGGGGTGTTTTTTTTTAAACCTTGCTACCCATGATAGAATGACATGCAATTGCAGTCAAAGAATGGACTTGTGTTAGGTGTCAGTAGACTTGTTTTAGTTGTCAGTAGAAAAGACAATAAAGTTCAGGACTTAATGACACGTTTCCAGAGACAGCACCCTTACAAACGTTAGTGTAGTTGGTTGTATTTCATTGCTTTTTTTAATATTGAAAAGAGCTGTCATCTTCACAGCTTGATTGGCAGCCTTCAGCCTCCGATATTTCAGGGTCCTGAGTCACAGTTTTGTTTCATAGGGGAGGAGGATTTTTTGTAAGGACTTGTGTCTTTTGATTGCCCGCATAAACCTGCCGCCTATCAGACTGGCAGATTTGTTGACAGCCTCTCTCAGGGTATTAAAGAGAAGCAGAGATTGCGTCCGTTACGTAATCCCAGTTTGCTCAGTTCTCTGCCGACCCCCAGCCTTCTCTTCTCTGTTTGCACAACCCAGGCCCAGTACTCCTGACAACAGATCGCCTACCCGCAATCCCGCCATTTTAATACCCACTTGCCCTTTGCTATGGTTTTTTGCGGCTGATAAGGAGTGGTACATGTCTCTTGCTGTTATGGTATCAGCGTGGTGTGCTGTACAGTATGGGGTTTGGAAGGAGAGGGAGGGGTGGAGTGGTCTTTTTATTGCAGCAGTGGGGTGATTTATCTGATGCTTTGGTATTGTCACTGACCCTCATAAACCAGATAACACACATTTAATATCACACACCCCTATGGGAAAGAAACCCGAAGAACTGCTCTTGTTTTTATGCTATAATTACATGTGGTTTTGCATGCTCTTTACTTTCCAGCATGCCAACATTTTCCAGTTGATATAATTCTAAGAATTGAGTTTGTAACTTATTTGTAACGATAAATGTTCAACTTTTCCTGGGTGTTTCAGAAACAACAGCGGCTTTTTGTAAATTTTATGATGTATTATTTTCAGTAAAATCACACTGGCTACCTTGTAATAGGCAATATGAGTCAACAGTGCTACATGTACTTTAAGTAATGATTAAAATCCACAATGTGGTTTATATGACATTCTGCGCTTTTATAGGATTGAAGTCACATTTGAAATCAAATGTAGGCCCTTTTGTAGGGGTTGCTGTGTGTCATCGATATGCTGAATCATTCGACTGTCAATTACAACTGTCAAAGTCTTTGTGGTTTATTTTGGGGGAAAAGTAATTAGGCAGGATTGATATTTCATAAAATGGGGATTATTTAAAGCAAAAATACTGAAACAAACATGAGGGTAACAGTCAGCCTCCCTACACCCCATTTCTTACAATGTGACAATATGAAAGGATACTCATTTCAACTTGAAATGTCTTGAAATATGAAACGACGACAGAAAATCACTTTTACATTAGACAAGTTGTCATACTATACTTTTAAGGATGGCATGGTGAGATATATTTAAAGAATGTACTTTCTTGTGCCCAATTTTACGTAAATTAACACTATCCAGTCACACAGAAGTGTACAGAACAGGTTTTTTAAATAGTAATTTCTCTCTCTCTCGTTTTTGTCCCCAGTCCCAGCTGGACGCTACCAGACAAGAGAGGGACTTGGCGCTGGCCAAAGTGCGCAAGCTCCAAGAAGAGTTGGATGAACTTAAAATATTCTACAGGTACAAAAATAGTGGCAGATCAGTATACCCATTGTATATGCCCTCTCCTCCCCACATCCCCCCCCCCCTCCCTTTCCTCCATAAGAAATGGTAGACTTCCAGTGAATAATGTCCTATGTGAATGCATGCACTCATAAAGTCTGGCTGGGTTTGTTGTATTATGTACAGAACAGATTTAACTAGAGGCTAGATTAGATTATACTCTGATTTTCAGATAAACATGTGATCTTGTACTCATCAGATTTGTAAAGTTCTGTTTCCATGATTAAACTTGTCCCAAGTTCTAGTTCCTGAGTGGTAACAGATTCAAGCATACTTCATTTAGTCAAGTCACAAGTAACAGGATAAAAACTGAACAATGACAGGGCAATGCCCATGTGACTTCATAAGAGTTCATTGAAATACCGGTAGTTGGTCAATAGACCAATTAATTAAGTTTTGCGCAGGGATGTTTTGACCAATCACAGCTTGGATTGCAAAATCAAATGTGAGACAAAAGTCAGAACTGAATGCACTTCAGGTAACACATGCATTTGGACCATGCTGTTGTCAACTTCGATCAGTCTATAAATTTGAGACAAGATATAACATGTGGATACTTGGTAAAAATATAAACATGATAGAAACCTGCAGTGAAACCTATTTGTTAATAATTAATGTATTTTTTCTTCACTCTTTCTTTGCCGAATTATCCTTCCAAATCTCCCCTCCCTTACCCCCTCCCCTACCCCCTCCCCTACCCCTTCCCCTACCCCCTCCCCGCACCCACCCACCAACCAGTCTCCACAAGTCCCTGTCCCAGGAAGCAGAGCTACGGGACCACTTCAACACCACCATCGGTGGGATGACGGAGCAAGTCATGGCTAGCGATGAGATCCTGGCCCAGACTAAGCTCAGTAACACTCAGCTGTCCGGCCAGGTCAAGCAGCTACAGAATGAGCGTAGCGCCATGGCAGCCCAGCTGCACCAGGCACTGCAGGCACAGCGAGACGCACAGGCCAAACTTAAAGAGTGAGTCTTAGAATGTCTTGGGTTTTTTTTCCAACTCTCTGTGTGGACTCCATGCACGAACAGGGGTCATCTGTGTCGCAGAGACAGTAAGCAGTAGGCACAGCAAAAGGCAAGCTTACCTGGGGTGGGGGGATTTGCCTTAATAAGTTACAAACAAAATAATCTCCTTCTACGTACAACCGTATGTACATCAACGCTGTGAAATAGTGCTAAAGTTTAGCACAATTTTCTGCTAGCTGTAAAACAGCGCCATGAGAATTGGCCCAGAAGATTATGTGGGGAGCACATGTACACCACATGTGTGGATACGTACACTGCCAAAGTCGTAAAGTCATTCAGAGGTCAACTCGGTGCAACCATAGATACCGTTTTACAAGCACTGCAGCAGCCCATGTGAACACATACATTCACTGTGGCAGTTGGGAACCCAAGTATCGTCACTGGCTGAAATCTCCTCTTGGAACTAAAAATAAGTACAACTTGGGTTTTAACTGGTGTGATGACATTCTGCTGCAAAGCACCTTACCATTTTCTAATACTAGTTTGTGTGTTATATTAAAGTTGGATGTCAAATTGCTGTCTGTCATTGTGTGTGTTAAAGTACATGTACGTGTAATGTGTCAGTATGGTATGCACGTGATCCATTGTCAAGGAAGTGAGCCTGACCTGGGGAGGAGGTGACACCACACTATGGCAGCGCGTTTCGGTTCATGGGTGGAAGCATGGAATATGCATGACTAGTTTCATCTGAATACGCTCAAATATATGGTACATTTGCATGAGTGTCGGGCACACCGCTGCAGTGGCATTCAAGAAATTGGGATTCTTAGCAGGGGTGTGAAATCTCAGATTTACAGCTGAAATCAGCTTTTTTTGTTTTGGATTTCAGCTTTTTTGTTTTGGATTTCAGCTTTTTTCCCTCACTTGCTGTGTACAAAAGTTTTGGAGATTTCCAAAGTTCAGTTTTTTTTGTACACCTTTTTCAGCTGTTTTCAGCTATTTTCATCAGTGTTCACTCTTAGATAAGTCACTGTCTTAGATCAGTCACTGATCAGAATAACTGTCATTGGGTTGTTGTTTTACACAACTGCAGACCCAATTCTTCAGTCATTTCTGGGGGGCCAAGTGAGTGTTACATAAGAAGTCTAACACTGCTTCCCATTTCATAAAAGGGGAGACCCACTCAAGTACATATCAAAATGCTTGTAGACAAGCAGGGCCCATCTTCATTCCTTTTTCATTAGGAGTTAGACTATACACGTTAATACTGATAAAAAAGGGCTTCCTTTGACTGTAAAAAAAAGAACCAGAATCAATACTCCGAATTGTATTTTATTAAGGCATTACCATCGTATGTGTGGCAAAAACCCTAACTCAGAGCTGTTGGAACATTTTTTTCAGACATGGGCAAGAGTATTTTTGATGAAGTTTGTTCATTCTGGAACACAGGTGTATGAATATGATTACTTCAATGCTAGCCTAGATACAGTGTAAAGGCATTGTTTTGGAGTTAAAACGTGGACGGAACAAAAAGGCATTTGTAGATTTTAGCATTCATCTAACTGAGACAACATCTGTATTTTTGTTTTCCCTACAGGAAGGAAAGACTGATTGCAGTACTGCGCAAGAAAGTTGCTGAGGGAACCGTTAAAACCGTGAACTAGCACCGAATTCCTGAAGTGGATGTACCAAGCATCTGCAATTGATCGATCGATTGGCGATTCCCCACCCCCCCCCCAATCCTATGTTGACAGAACTAAAGCAAACAACCTGTCCTAGAGAAATGGCCATATGAATATATACAAAATTCATCTTGCTGTTTCAGTCGTATCTATCTGTTTTTGTCTTTTTTTCTCTCTTTTTTTTTTTTTTTTTTTTAACCCAACATTGGACGGGGCCAGTGCAGCTGTTTGCGTTTCAACGCCACAGCAGAGACAGCCTTCCCAGCCGGCCGTTTCCATTTGAACAAATATGAATTTCTTGCCGGGGACAAGGAGGCCCGTGTTTGCCTGTAGTCATAGAAGGAAAGTATCTGTCCACCGACAGGCAAAATGAGAACAAACAACGCTGAAAGTTTTAGGCTCTCCAGAAGAATGAAAAAAAAAACTGATAAGGTTCCTATCTGGACTGATACATTGCCAATTTTGATCAGGGGGCTGTAGTTGCTGGATTTCTTACCCTGGGTCAACAAGACTCGGGCTATTCGCGGCTTCTTTCCATCACAGAGGCTAAAGAGGCTTCCTTTTTTCTCCCTTTTTTTGGGGGGGGGGGGGGGGGTGTGTTTGTCCAGAGGAGTAGATCAGTCATGGAAAGTGTTAGCTATGATACGTTTGAACAAATCCCGCGGTGTTTGAGCAGAGACAATTGCATCACTTGATGAATTGTCAATCAGTCTGGCTGGACAACCCCTCCATATCACTCACTATGGATGATCCGAATGGTGCGTCATTATGAGGATTTGATTATTAAATTAAAAACCCTATTATTTTTGGTTGTGAAATTGATACAGCAAGCTACTTTCAATTTCCTTGTTGTTTGGTTTTGGATTTTCTTTTATTCTTTCCAAACTTTTAAGTTTAACCAATACGTTTGCCCAGATGTGAAAATTGGAATTCACCGGTTTGAACTTCTTCAGTTGAATGAATGTTGCTGAATGTAAGAAAGAAAATTCAACACAGTATGGGCAGATGATACTCTGTAAATACTCTTCAAAAAGTCGAGACAATTCTCCAATTGATTTCTTTCAGAGTGAACTACTTTGTATGAATTTTTGGTTGAATTTTATACCAGTCCAAATCAGGGGCGGATCCAAGAATTTTTGGAGGGGGGGGGGGTTCAGCAGCAAAAAAATCTGAAATGAAGATAGGTTTTTTTCTTCGGACACTTGGTCTCCGTAAAATCAAAAACTGTTCTACAACACATTTACTGTCAGTAAATTCGCAAACCAGTGTGGTTCGTCATTTTTACTCAGTATTGACATTATCAATGACAGATTGGACATGAATATGCTAATATTTTTCTTTGTACATTAATTTCAAACTTTAAGGTGAAAAAAAGCATGTGCCTCTATATTTGTACATATTTGGTTGGAGACTCAAATGCAAGATTTAAAGTCTGCTTTGTGTAGTACATGTATATATTGTTGCGGTTCTCTAAATTTGAAAAAAAATATCATTTGGCAATTATTCAGAATGGTTTGTTTTTTTTCGTTTGTGAACATCATGTTCAACATCATTATTTATTCAATAAAATACCAATATTTGACTATTTTAAATTGTCCCCCTGTTGTGTTTAGCAATTTATGGAAAATCGCATACCAATTCATTGAAGAAGTGGGCGGGGACGGGAAGGTGGGGGGGTGTCTTTGTTGACCCAGTTTCCACCTAATCTCCAGTAATGTACAACTCTTATTGTTTCTTCATGGTTCTTCCCGCCCTTGACGACGACATTCACCCTTGACGACAAAATTTACCGTGCCTTCAAAACAACACGGACAATATTGACCGACTTTATATACATAACATGATTGAAAACTTGCGAAATATTAGCGCTAGAAATCAAAGCAAGAAAACACACCGCGAGACGTTTTTGTGGCAGTCTGGGGTCCCTTAAAGAATGTCCCACCGTCTATACCATCAGCGTGCCTGCAAATTAAGTTTGCCCGTGCGACACCGGTGTGGGGGGAGAAGAAAAAGGGAGAAAAAAATTGCGAGGCACCCCGCATTGTCTAATTTTCGGCGGTACTCCGTTTTGTTTGCCGTGTTGTAATTTTCCAAAAAGCATATTTGATCGAAATATCTCTGCGATCGTGGGGCCCTCTGAATTAGGACGTAACACGGCCCTGTGTAAATTTGGCATTTCAGTTTGCCACGGCAAGAAAAATCCATAGAGCGGGCAGCGGGGAGGTCGTAGGGGGGTCGAGACGAGCGATAGGCCCGCGTGATGGATGCGTGTGCATGCTTTACGGCTATGTGCGACTGTGTGTAGAGGCATTCCGTGAGTTCACTTGTGTGGGCTTGTATGCTCTGTTACTAGTGTTTTTCAAAGATCTGGGCACGGGTGGTTCTTTTTTGTATTGAAAAAGGTCTGGAAAGAATGTTGCATCCTGACGCCATTTTTTTCATGATATATTATCTCCTGCAATGAAGGTCAGTCATTGCAAAAATGTTGAAAAGAAATGAATCTGGGACTGAGAGACATTTCCAATTTTGTTAAAAAATACTTTGAAAATGTATTCGACTCTCCATAGACTTTGTACACAGCCAAATGAGTTACGTCTGTATGGATAACCACTTTCTTTCCAAAGGTCTTGAAATTGATTATTCGCCATGGCCAATCTTGGTGTTTTTCGCGAAAGATTTCGTAATTCCAAAATGTAGATTCATCTCGCTGCCAGAATGGGAATTTCCCCGTAATGCCTTGCAGCGTTTTACATTTTAAACCTTCATTCTACATTTTATAGGCCGGCCTTATGCAATCTGCGCCGCCGTTTATTGCTGGAGTCTCTCATGAAAATAACACTAGAGTAGCTCAGTTTGTAACGTGCTGGTACGGAGTCCTGAGGTCCGGGGTTCGAATCCCGCGACAATCTTTGTACAACAGGCGAACGGACATTGTCATGTGGTTTAACGTCGTCAAACTGTGTAATATGTGTTTTGTATCCTTTCAGATCCTGGACAAGAAGACTGATTTTGGCATATGGAAAAAAACAGATAAAAAAGAAAATGTGTATCATTAAAGTAAAATAGAGATGCAACCTAATTTGTTCATAGTATTCTAATTTACAGTACGGCCTTTCGGTGGAATCCTGTGTAATATACCCAGTAATTATGAAATGCGTGTGGGGTGGTTGACTTAAAACCCCAACTTGCAAGGTTTCAACCCATGAATTTGTTGTCAAAACAAGGAAATAAGCAGTCGAAACCTTGAAAGGGAATTATGATCCAGGGAAGAAGGAAAAACAATTTTGGTCGTGATAAAGTGTTGTTCGAAATGATTGTCACAACTAAGCTGTTTACCGTCTATTCTTGTGGTATAAGCATAAGCATAAAAGCAGCCCTAAAGACAGCTGTTGGTATAAACCAACAGTTGCTGGTTCGTGAATCTCCCCACTAATTGCTAATTCTCTTTTCAGCAGTTTTCTGAAGAAGCCTCTTAATAGTCTAAAATGAAGCGTAAAATAAACACACTTGGCTTCCCCCGATTTATGTATAATGAATTTCATTGGCGTGGCGCGCGATGCTAATGGCGCGCTCTTCGAACCACGAAAAAAAAACCAGCGAAATTTCCATCACTTTCAATTAGCGCGAACGATTCACAGAGATTAGCCGTGGAAATTCAATTAATCCAGGCCGTCGCAAGCTGTCTACGATTACGGAGTGGTATCAGGCAAGTTACGGAGAAGATACCAAACAAAATCGGCGTTAAAAGCATCTTTTAGCGATGTCGCCCCGCGAAAAATGGAGGTATAGGCTAAAATGACGGGATCTGTTTTTGGAGGTACGAAGAGTAAGTGGGGCTGAGAAAGGCAAGAGCTTCGCCCAGGCGAGGGCTAATCAAACGTCCCGTTGGGACCCGTCTGATGGGCCGATCTCCCCCGTACTAAGAGCCTCCCACGGGGCACACGGCTCCGATTTCCCCCCGGTGCGCGCAGTCACTCGTACAGACTGTTGATATCGCGGTAATCGAACTATTCCGCCCATACTTTACCTCTCTTTGTTTTGGGAGTCCTGGCTTTTGTATCAAGTGTAAAACACCTATTGGCGGTGGTCGGCTCAAGTGTACCAGACTTAAAGAGGCAATCTGGCCCTTCAATGTCTCTGAAATTGACAGGGGCCGGGAGCCGCCACCGTCCAGAGATTTGCCCTCGAGTGTGTTGGTTCATATTTGTAGATTAATTTAATCGGTTCTTTCTCGGCCAAACTATACTGTTAATTTAATACATTCCAATGACGTACAGGGTTGAAAAAAATAGACTCAAGCCAAGTCATGATACAGTCTCTTTAAATGAAATTATTTGCTCGGATTAACACCAGTGGGGTTTTCTATGCCTCGCTAAGAAATCGGGGATTTGCTAATGCACCGTGGCCTATATCCAGTTCCAGGGGAGAGAGCTCTAGTCATAAAGGGAGGAGGCATTCAGCTTTAGTTAGTACGTGTTGTGCGTGTGATCTTTCCTAAACGGTCCCTTCACTCGGAATCGAACCGATTTAGTGACGGTTCCATCATGTAGCCGATGTGGCCAATTTGAAGAGAGAAAAAAATTGGGGGGGGGGAGGAAGTTTGTTTTTAAGTTAAATCTAGTCTTAATCCAAGACTAGAATTTGGATTTATTTCTCTCATACAGCCGATCCGTGACAAGCGAGGTCCGAAGATGAATTTAATCCAGTCTTGGCAATATTGGCAGCGCTACCCAGGAGTTTTCGAGCATACCTCACGCGCGCTGCATTCGTGTTAATGCATGCGCGTGAGGTATGCTCGGAATTTCCCGGGTAGCGCTGCCAATATTGCCAATACTGAATTTGGTTAGAGACCTCCACCGCCGCGGCAACTTTATAACCGCATTCGTCACGAGTGAGACTGGCTGCAAAATTAGGGGGAAATTCAGTCTTGGATCCAGACTAAGTGAAATAATGCATATTTAGGCTTCAAGTGATGGGTTTATGGTAAAGAAAGCGAGGGATAAAAACTACAGGCAAGTTGCACATTAATGATGGCGCTTGGCAATAATGGAACGGAAGTACAATATTGGTGATGATTCACGGGACAGTTTTAGATAACATTACCATCGGCAATAGCTGCACTGCAAAAACAGCAACGTTCGGTTTAACATCGGTGGTATCTATAATTATGGAGCTATCGGTGTCAAACTTTACACCAGTGGTTTTTAGATACCATCTGGGTACAATTGTAACTGCACTTTCTGCAGTGTAACGGGTGTTAAAATAATTGGCGTAGATTAATCATTTACAGATTCTAATTAATAGGACGGACTCCCCAAGACAATTTATTATTAAACCTATCCCTACCAAATTAGCACGTTTCGCGATCGGTTTTACGTTTTCACACCGTTTTGGAACACGCATGTAGGCCTATGTTGTCCATATTTTTTCCCAGCGGTAGTCGGGAGGGTTGGGACTTCTCGATGGTGTTATCCCGTTTAAAGGGCGAGTTCCCGAGACATAGCCCGATAGGGCCGGGTATTGGTACAATTCCGCTCAGTAGCTCACTAAAGTCTTGTGTGGTCGGTCTATGGAATAGACTGTTGTATGATATTAATGGGTCATTCTATAAATTTGGGGTCCAAAGTGTGACATTTTTCCCGTCCCTGTTACCTTGGTACTTTGTAATTTGCCATTCAAGCATCATTAAGAATGACTTCAAATGATTGTTTATTTGTTGGGTAGGTAGTTTGCTATTCATAATCACTCTTGGAGGATGACTGCATTAAGGAGTGCATCAGAATTATACAATCATAGATGTCAGATGTAACAGGGACGGGAAAAAAAGTGGACCCCAAATTTATAGAATGACTCGGCGATTAATATTGTGCAAACCAAAAAAAATACTGCGTCTTGACCTTGAGATTCTGACCAATCAGCGGGCGCCTTGTATTGTATCGAGTCTTCCGTAACCAGTTGATGTACATGTATTGCAAACATATGCCAGCCAAATTGACCAATCAAAAATAACGTCACAGTTTCTTAAGTCGACTCCGATTGGCTGGCGAGCGGGGTCGCATAACATTTGCATGCTATTATGAGACGTTCCTTCGCGTGGTGCTGCATGCACACGTGCATGTCTGATCCTCATGACTTGCCGTGGTTGGGAATGACTATTTTTATATTCAATTGTCATGAAACCAATGTTACTTGTTATGACCTGTTGCACAATAAATGCAAGTACCAGGCCACCAATCCATTTTTTTTAGAACTGAATCTGTGAAAAGGTTGACAACATTAGACACACTCAAAAAAAGTTGGGACGGGTTGGCACTTTTGCCCAATGTCCTACACACACGCTTGGGCAAGTTCCCCGACGGTTGGTCAATAATTTCCCCATTCCCCAAATTATTTCCCCAATTAACCAACAATGTAGATAATTTTGCACTAATGTTGGGCAAATAACATTGCCAGGCAGTGATTTGCCTTGGGTGTTTTTACGCCTTTCATCATTGCGCAAGATTGTCGACATATGAATTGAAATCAGGAAGATACAAAGATGCAACGGTACTTCGCTCTCTTAGAATCCCCCTACCCCTGTGCCACTTTGGTC